GCGCTATATAAATACAGGCCATTTACCATTTACCATACCCTGAAGTTTAAGGACACTTGGGCAATCCAAACACACCAGCGAGTTCACCTCTGAATGGCTCAAAAAAGCAAAACAAACTGAAGGTTTCTCAGATCAGGTTGAGATCCTTTGGCGTGACCTTCAACAAGGCCATTCACGCTTGAAAACCCTCCAATGAGACTTAATTAAAACTATTCTGCAAACAAGAGTGGGACAGAATTTTTCCACAGCGATGCGAAAGACTAAATAGCAGTCATCACAAACGCTCGATTGCAGTTCTTGCTGCCAAGAGTGACACAACCACTCATTAGGTTGAGGGGGCAATTACTTTTTCACACAGCACCGGGTAGGATTGGATAGCTTTCCTTTCCTTCCTTGATAAACGAAAGCATCATTTACAAAACTGCATTTATTTGGACAATCTTTGTAATATTAAAATTTGTTACATGAACTGAAATTTATAAATGAGACAAATATGCAAAAAAACAACAAGAAACCGGGAAGTGCAAATACTTTTTCACAGCACTGTAACTGTGGACTCTGCATTTGTGCAATCACGCTGTAGCATTTATTACATTCAGAAACAGCTTCCAAGTAGAATTCATTTACAGAGCACTAGTGTGCTTACATGGTGTTTTATGGTTTAGTATGAGTCAGTACTCGATTTATTTGTTACGAGTGCATTGCTGCAGTGATGTATACAGGCAATCAAAGTTCTCACGTGTAACTGTACTAAATGTGAAATAGGTAGCAGCTGGGTGCTCCTGCTGTTTTTAACTCCTGATAATAGCTGAATTTCTTTTCTCCATTTATTATTTATATACTTTTTCTTTTTTGGTTTTTCTTCGTAGCAGATCTGTCTTCTTTGAAAGCGCTCTGATTGCTGGTGATTTACATTCTCCGAAATATTCAGAGTATATTGTCTGCCGGGACGGCACAACACTTTTATCGTTGCAACTCTACTCACCCAAAATAAGAAGCTGAAGAAGAAGAGAAAGTATCTGATCCACGGGTTGACAAAGGAGAATGTCTCAGCTCGGTCCAGATTCAGTTTCCTGTCCATTATTTACTGAGGTGTAAAGCTACAGCGAGTTTCACTTGTAAACAGTCCCCGGTTCCTGCCCCACCCAGCAGATCTGCAGGCGCCATGTGAATCTGTGAGCGGGTGGCTTGTAGGCTGTGCTGGTGTCGGGGTGGCTTTAAAAAAAGGGGGGCATGGATTTGTGACGCCGCCTCACCGTGCTGGTGAGACCCAGAACTGTCCATGTAGGCTGATGGGTCAGATTGCACAAAAAATATCTCTAGCTGACTGCAGCTGAATGGCCTACAAGCTGCCTTTAGTTTACCCCTGTGCATTCTGTCTCCTCTCGCCATTATGTCATAGGGCCTAGATTCCACATCGCACAAACGCACTGCACTCGTCTTTCTGTATTAATGTTTATTGCTTGTGAAAGTTTCATGTTCTAGTCTGCAGATTACAGATTCAGATTACTGTTCCAGTGAATAAAGCAGAAGGACG